TATTAGATGTTGTTATACCACCCAGGTCAGAAAACTGTAGAGACTTACAATTATTATTTCATAGGAAAGTGACAGAAAAAAAATTTTATTTTTCCGAACATCTCGCAACAATTTATCAGTGCCACATCTACCTAAACTATTAAAGCAGTGATGTGCAGCTGTGAATGGAAATTTGATTAAGCTTCGCTGGTGACTAGGTGAGGCCTGCAGAGATATGCGAACTCTGTTCTCATTAGCCCGTCCTCGAAGAAGAGGTGGGCACTGAGTGACAGAAAAGGGAAATTTTATTTTCTCCCACATGGAAAAACAAAACGCAAGTTCTAAAAATTTCTCCAAGTAAGAAAAGCCAACTTTCTAGAATGTTATTAATCAGTGTGTATCATCCAGAGCCTTCTTCATCTTTGGCAGCCTCCTTTTTCATCGCTGCACTGGTAATGCCATCTTTAATGACAGTGACTAGGAAAGGCAGAATCAAAATGATCCTTTAATTGGGACGTGGCTGTTCCCTTGAGAAGGCCTGATGGGAGAGGAGCAGTGGGTGGTTCCTTCCTGCCCACTTCCCACAGTCATGGTCAGACAGCCTGGCTCAGCCTGGTGTATACACTTGAAGACAACAGCCTCTCCAAGTCTCCTAGGGGAATGCGGGGGCTGCTCGGTTCTCAGAGTTGCTGCCTCATGTGCCCACATAACTTTCAACATTGAGACGTCCTGTTGCTCGTTGTGACTTCACCACCCAGACAACAGAAGAAGAGCTATTCATTGTGTACTGATCATCTGTCAGGTACTGTTTTAGGCACCTTTATTTACAGTATTAATTTAATCCTCTCAGTGGCCCTGAGGTTGTCAGAGATGTTGGTCCCATTTTTTAAAGAGTGTGCGCCTAGGTGGCTCAGTCGGTCAAGCGTCAGACTTGATTTTAGCTCAGGTCATGATATCGCAGTTTGTGAGTTTGAGCCCCGTGTTGGGCTGACAGCCCAGAGCCTGCTTGGACTTCTCTCCCCGCTCTCTCTGGTCCCCACATCCACTCATGCACATGCTCTCTTTCTCTCTCTCAAAAATAAACATTAAAAAAAAAAAGAGGGAACTGAAGCACCCAGAAGTCCACTTACCTAAGTCAAACATCTCATGAGTGAACAGGATGGGATTCAAATCGAGGCGGTCCAATCCCAGGGTATAAACTCCAGACCCGTACATTATCCTGACCCCAAAATCTCATCATCACTCACAGGGACTACAGAACAACCTACCCAATCTTTCTGTTCCACTTTGGCCTTCTAGAATCCATCCTTCATGGCACACTTGGAGTGGCCCATCAAAAGCAGGTATGATCAAGTCATACCTGATCAAAACCCTCCAAATATCTCCTGTCACCTCTAAAGACGAGAAGTTCCTTAGCCTGGCTTGCAAACTGAACTGGCCTTGTGCCTATTTCTGCTCCCTCAGCATCCTTCCAGACTTGCATTTTGGCAGCTAATAAGAGCAACTGACAGCAAGAAGCTGTCCCCATGCCTGCCCCATGCTGTTGCCCAGCTCCATCCCTCTGCCCAAGCTGCCTGCCTCTACTGGGAAGGTAGAGGCTGCATTCTTTGTAATGGCACCTGACCCTGCCCCTTCCTTCTGACCCTTTCCAACCACCCAATCCGCATGAGACGTCCATTTAATGCCCCCAGAACACCTCAGGCATACTTCTGTCACTGTACCTACCACACTGTATAGATTTCCTTTACAGATCTATTTTTGCAACCGGAGTATAAGCTTCTCAACAAATACTAGGGCTCTCATTTTTGTAACCCAATGCTTAGTGTGGTATTGGTTTTCAATTAATATTAGAGCTCTATAGTCATCTGTATTTAAATGTACTTCTAAAAATACCTTGCATCCAAAATCTATAAAGAATTTATTAAACTCAACACCCAAAAAACAAATAATCCAGTGAAGAAATGGGCAAAACACATGAATAGACACTTCGCCAAAGACATCCAAATGGCCAACCGACACATGAAAAAATGCTCTACATCATTCATCATCAGGGAGATGCAATTGCATTACTAGGCATTTATCCATGGGATACAGGTGTGCTGTTTTGAAGGGACACATGCACCCTGATGTTTATAGCAGCACTATCAACAATAGCCAAAGTATGGAAAGAGCCCAAATGTCCATCGATGGATGAATCGATAAAGAAGATGTGGTATACATAATATACAATGGAGTATTACTTGGTGATTAAAAAGAATGAAATCTTGCTATGTGCAGCTACATGGATGGAACTAGAGGGTATTATGCTAAATGAATTAGCCAGAGAAAGACAAATATCATATGACTTCACTCATATGAGGACTTTAAGACACAGAACAGATGAACACAAGGGAAGGGAAGCAAAAATAATATAAAAACAGGGAGGGGACAAAACAGACTCTTAAATATGGAGAACAAACAGA